TAATAATAATAATAATATTCTCCTCTAATGTATCATGTGACTATTAGCCAGTTTATTAAATTGATTATCTGTAAGTAAAGCTGGCAGGTATCATGTTCAAACTACATCATCTTGTAGGGCTGTACTCTGAATGAAAACACTCATTCATAGATACACTGTGGTCCTCCATTAATAAGGGTTAGAAAGGATCAGAGAACTATGTGAAGAACAATTTCAAATTTTTCAGTCTTCTAAAACATCTATGAAATTCTGGAGGTGGTCAGAAGTTTCCAAACGCTGGCTTACTTTCATCTGACAGACAATTATCCCCCCCCCAAAGGAAACTACAGAGTTAGATGGTAAAGATCACTTCATTCAGTCAACTATTTCTTCATGCAGTTCCCGAAGTATATAAGAATAGGTTGTTCTCACACATTTTATGTGAAATTTTACTTACTCATACTGGTCTAGACTATTGGACTTCTTTCTTGTTACATAGTTGCTTGGTATATAACCTTGGCACCTAAAGGTGACAAAAAGAAAAACAAAAGCTTAGAAAATATAAAAAATGAAAGCATCTGGGTAATAAGTGTTTGCAAAAACATATTTATAAAATTTTTGAGTCACCTGTGTAGCTCACGTGGAACATTAAAACACTTTCCTGCTGTTAGAGGTATGAAGACAGGACACTACATAACCTTTTATTAAGCACTTCTCACTGTGAGACTTTATTGGTCAGCCAAACTGAGCAGCTAATCTTGAAGCTTGGCCAGGTTTTGCAGTTATAGGCACTCATTCAATAAACCTGGTCCCAAAAGCAATTTAAGCCTTTTAAGGTATTAACTTCACATGCTTGGCAAGTAGTATCACTGGTACAGAATTGTTATTACATCTCCGATCACCTAACCATCACAAACAAGCTAGTCCTCTAGTTTCTTTCTCCACTTTTTGAAGGGCCATACTTTGCAAAATTTGCTTCCCAACATATATCCAGATAATTGAAATCTCCCATCGCTACTACATCATGCCTCTTTGAAGTCCTTGCAATTATATACTTATTATATATTACCCCAGGTACAGTGGTGACTTGACTTACAGACGTCCCTACTTACGAAAATTTCAAGTTACGGAAAGCTCCGGCCATGAAATGTTGGTTCGACTTGCAGCCGGAGTTTCCACTTACGAAAGGAAAAAGGCAGGGAGAAAGGGTGGGAAATTCAAACAGTTGGTGGCGAAGAAGCTGCTTCTTTGCCCCAGCAGTTAGGAAAAGGGAGGCCCAGCCTCCCAGGCTTCCCCGCCGCTGCAACTGCTGAGGCAGTGGTGACCCAGAGCCGGGAGGCTTGAGCTGGCCAGGTTTCTTCTGGCCACTTGCCTTTTGACTCGCCTCCTGCTCACTCCTCGCCGCCCTCCGCCATTTGAATTTCCCGCCATGGGCCCACGGAGGGTGGCACGGAGCAAGCGGGAGGTGAGCCGGGAGGCAAGCAGTGGCGTTCACCTTTATTATGTTAAAAAAGTCATGCATTATTCATGTTTTATGCTGATGTGGTTGAGAGCTGGGGCCACTAGAGATGTTAAAAGGCGGAGCCAGAGAGGAGGAGTTTAGTTTACAGTCTGGATCTGAGTTTGAAGGGAGAGAGAGAGAGAGAGAGTTTGGGAATCTGAGGAGTGATTGAGGAGTAAATAGTAACCTGTAAGATAATATAGAAGATTGTTATTGATGCTTGATGAACCTGAAGAAGATACCTATGAATTATTATAGAAACATCTGTAATCAATAAACCTGTTTTATTCAAAATACAGTGATGAATGGACCTTTGTCTTTCCTAAGTAAAGTACGTTGATAATCAACTGGTGGCAGCAGGTGAAAAGGTATTTTTGTCTGGTTTGCCTTCGTTAGCTCTCTGTTTTGTGGTGACAAACAGGGGCATCAAAGGGGCAAATGTCACACAAGCAGCCGAAGAAACCTGGCCAGCTCAAGCCTCCCAGTGCTAGGCAACCGCAGCCTCCACCGTGGCCAGGGGCGAGTGGCCAAAGCACCCCAGACAGACTCAAGCCTCCCGGTGGTGGCAGTCACAGCAGCAGTGGAAGCCCGGGAAGCTGAGGAGGCTTCGGCTTGGTAAGGTGCTCCTTTTTTAAATAAGTTGTTCTGGGTGGGTTTTGGAGGGTAGGTTTGGGCTGGGGGGTTATGTTTCTGTGTTGTTTTGTTTTTTGGGGTTTTTTTCAGTCTTAGCATGGGACTTGCTCCAATGTTTATTTTTGGATTTGTTTTTTGTTTGTTTGTTTGTTATTTGCAGTCCCAGCGTGGGACTTGCTCTGTTTATTTGTATTTTTTTAATTTTTTCATTTTTTTGATAGTTTTTTTTCGGATGGAATGGATTAATCGGTTTTCAATGCATTCCTATGGGAAATGGTGCTTCGTCCTACAAAAATTTTGACCTACGACCACCGTACCAATACGGATTAATTCCGTAAATCGAGGCACCACTGTACCTATTAATTGGAAGATGCTATTAATAAATATATCTGAGCACTGCTAGCCTCCCAGGGTCAATGGGTGGCCCTCTTCTATGTCCATCTCCATAAAGTAAAAACATTGTCCAATTTATGCAAAAAGGGGTTTATTGAAACTGGGAAAAGGGAAACAACAACTTTGGGAGTTAACATCACTCTTGAACCCTGCTGCAGGGACAAAGTTAACTGCATCCTCCAGAGCTCCTTTTATATCCCCAAGCTGTAAGGCTAATTTCTTCCTTTCAACTTCCTCAGGTGGCCTTTTTCTCTCTCCTAGGGCTGAGCTTCTATCTCCATGCCTGCCCCAAAACCACTACTAGCTTGTTTTGTGGTGCTGATCTTGGTGGAACAAAGTTACATTTTAAAGGTACCATAGTGGCTGAAATGCAGTAGATTAGTGGCAACTAAAGTAGGCCTACTGAATCACTGGGGATTTGTTGAATAAACTTCTCTTTAAATTCCATTGATCCAATGGTCCTCCTCTAACTGCAACTCACTATTGAATTTCGGCCAATGAATAAGATTACCTATCCCCCACAAAAATAATGAATAAAACAGCAATGAATTAATAGTGATAATATTTCTTACCCATATTCATCTCTTGCTTTCCACCAATGCATATCATTTTTTTCTATTATAGTATATTCATGACCTCTTTCTAATCTCAAGTCATGAGATTCTGTGGGCTGAAAGTCATACATGGCTATTACTACCTCTTCCTCTTCTTCCTCCTCTTCTGGGGGAGCAGGGGGTGGCGGTCTTCTCTGAAATGGAAAAAAAAGTAATTGTAAGGATTATTTATAGAAAGGCTTAAATTACACCTAATAACGATTTTGATTTAAGATTCTGAGGTTCTATGTTTTATGAACTGATTAGATTCTGAATGAAACCAAATCAAACTACCAATTCAACTGGTGTCATCGCCCCCCAAAATTTTTCTGGTATGTGTGGCCAATTATCTTGGTCCAAAGGGGGAGTAGAGGACATGACAATGGGAACATTGACAGTGACATATCCAGGAATTATTATATGCCATTACAGTAGGTTAAACCACAAGTGAGTTCCTGTTCTCTTTCTTCTGAATAATCCCCCCCCCCCATTTAACATGACTGTCAAGTTTAGCACTGGATCAGATAATTACTGCATTGCTAATCCACCTTTTAGCTATGAACTGAAAACCACTGGTGTTACATTAATTCACTATTATGTCACTTTAGGGGGGGAAAGTGTGTGTGTGTGTGTGTGTGTGTGTGTGTGTGTGTGTGTGTGTGTGTGTGTGTGTGTGCGTGTGTCCGTCTCTCCGTCCGTCCGTCTCCGTCCAGGTATACACTGGTTTCGCTTGCCTTGCCAGAGTCAGGGATGGGTAGCGGAAAAGGGAAACGAAACTTGGTGCATCCTGCCATACTTGCCCCATGTGCAATTCTCCAGAAACAATCCCAGTATCACTCTGGTGTTTTTTTTCTGAGCCCACTTTCATGCTTCTCTCCCCTTTCCTCCCCCCTGCTTCTTTTAAACAAGCTGGTTCACAAATATTGAGGTGACTCTAATCCCAAAGTGCACAGCCTCAGAATTAGTGCCTTATCACTTCTGAAAAGAAAGAGGGGAAATCAAAAAAGGGACAAAGAGAAGTGGTAGGGAAGAGTGCAGTGGTGACAGCAGAGCTGCGATCTCAATGAAAATTGAACTAACTGGGAAATGCAGTCTGGACGTGTGCAACAGGGTAATTTACCTTACTGCTGTGGCTGACTACAGTAATTTTGGCAGCAGAAACTATCAGAAACCTGGTTTCAAAACCTCTGAAGCAACCCAATTTAATCCAATGTTCTTTCCCTACATACTCACACCCATGGTGACATGTACCTCAACACAAGTCAAAACAGGACTGAAAATCAGGCTAGACCTGTGTTGCCTGGGATAATTTGAAACTGGTAAATTATCATTTTGGTGTAGATGCTGAGGCTATTGACTACCAGTATAAACTTATTCCAGCTTCCACTAATATAAGTAGAAATTACCATTACCCTAGCAAATAATTGTTACAAGCTCTTTAATCTAGACCAGTAATGTAGGGATGGACAATCTGATGTTGATGGGCTGGAAGTCCCATCAGTACCAATGGTAAGAGAAGATGGGAGTTGTGATCCAACAGTATCTGGAGGGCCATATGTGGCCCATCCCACCACTTGCACTAAGGTAAATGTGAAGGTTTATCTTCAATTAGAAATATTTCATAAAATCATAGAAAAGTGAAGCTGGAAGGGGCCTATAAGGCCATCAAGTCCAACCCCCTGCTCAATGCAGAAATACAAATCAAAGGATATCTGCTAGGTGGTTGTCTAGATTTCTCTCGAATGTCTCCAGTCGTGGAGCACTCACCACCTCTTGAGGTAACTGGTTCCACTGTCTTACTACTATAACAGTTAGGAATTTTTTCCTGACATCCAATCAAAATCTGGCTTCCTATAACTTGAGCCCATTGAATTGTCTCTACCCTTGATAATCCCTGATAGTTTTTTGCTTTCAACTGATTGTTTATGAATGCCCATTCCTTTTATTTTGTCACTTTGAATGTAGCTGGGAGTGTCTACAAATATATAAATCTCTACCTTTTTCTCCGTAGTCTTCCCTTCCTCCGGTAGACCTTTCTTTTCCTACATGTTCTTCCTATCTCTCCTGCAGGGAACACTTGTTCGCTCACTCTAGTCGCGAGTTCCCTGGGCCTGCCTCAGCTTTATTTAGAATCAGGAATCAAATTTCACAATTTTAGCACAAATGAATGATATTTACAATACTAGTAACCTAAATATAAATTCTATGACTGCAGTTGTTCACAATTCTAAATATTTCTGTACCATTTTTTTCTCTGGCATCAACGGTGGCAATGTCTTTATACCTAGAACAAACAAGAGAAAACAGAATGTCATTCATTGCTTGGTTGCACTTCTGACAGTTAATGAGAAATATATTTTTACAGTATTAAAATAACTAAACTGAAGCAGCTGTACTTTTGGCACATCATGAGAATACAAGACTTACTGGAAAGATAGCAGTATTGGGAAAATTGAAGGCAGCAGGAAAGGAGGAGGACCAAATGTGATATGGATTGATTCCCTAAAGGAAACCATGTCCTGGAGTTTAGAAAACTTGAGCAAGGCTGTTAATGACACTGTAGTGCCAGTGTCATGTTAGATTTGTACACTTGAGAGTAGATAATGCCAAACAGTTTATTTATTTCATTTTATTTTAGTGCATTATTAGGATTCTTATAAATGCTGAGTCTGTTTGTTTTGCTCTCCTTGTCTTTAGAATGTTATGTTTAGCAAACCATGATAACTCTATATGAGGAGAGATCAACAATATGCAGAGAAAAAAGGGGAAAGCTTAATGAATATACAGTAAGTGTGCAAATAAATAAATAAATTTATTGAAATAAATGCTACCTCTATATTGGCTGGATAGCTCAAGGAATTAGGTACAGTATCTGTCTGTGGAGCCACAGTTTAGGAGTTCCTCTCCACTGGGCCTCTCAAGAGAAGAGCCACCCTGTGTAGCCCTGGACAAGCTGCGTAGTTTCAGGGCGTGCACACACACGCACGCACGCACGCACGCACACACACATACAGAAGAAGTGAATGGTGAACTAGTTCTGTCTAGAAAACCCTAGAAAGGGTTGCCATAAGTCAGAACTGAATTGATAACACATTATTATTATAACATTTATTGAAATATCACAAAATAATTCTGGGCAGTACAAATATAATGTTGCCAACTGCTTAACCATGACTCAGCAAATGGAACTGAATTAATTGAATAGCAGGATGGCATATGTCAATTTGATATTTAAATTGTCAACCTAAGTACGGTTAATCATTTAGTTAATTTTGCAACATCATGAAACACTCTTCTAGCTCCAGCTCATTCTGAGATTTGAAACTAGTTTCAGAATGTGCTTAATATCACTGGTGTGGCTTATTAAAATAAACAGTCTTTCAAAAGAGCCATGCAAGCAGAAAACTCTTAAACAGAAACAGACCAATGTGACAGGATCTATGGAAGTAATGGCAACCACACTGGTTTTATAAAGGAGTTGAAGTCAAAACACAAGCATAAATGAAAGTATACTGTAGTAGTAGAAATGGATGAAATTTTTGTTTGGTTCATTTTTGAAATAAGCTTTGCAAAATGTCCCTTTCCCCCATAAATTAAACAAAAACAACTTGGAGAGGAAGCAAAACTCTCTCTCTCTCTCTCTCTCTCTCTCTCTCTCTCTCTCACTCACACACACACACACACACACACACACACACACACACACACACTTTTAAAAAGGAATTCAACATGTTAAAACAACACCTCAACAGAACAAAAGGTTACAGAAACAACCAAAAACCCCTCTCATTAAATTTCCTTGGTTGCCAATTCCTTGTCCAAAGCGTTCCTGAAAAGAAGGTTTTTATCTGCCAGAGAAGGGTCCGGCTTGGCCTCCCTTGAGAGGGAATTTCACAGTCTGAGAGCAGCCACTAAAGAGGCTCACCCTCTTGTCCCAACCAAATCTGCCTGTAAGGATCAACAGAAATGCCCCCACCAAAAACCTTAAAACCTAGGGTGGCCCATAGAGGAAGACAGTCCTTCGGATAGCCTGGATCCAAGCCATTTCGGGCTTCGCAGGTCATAACCAGCACTTTGAATTGTGCTCAGAAATGGATTGACGACCAGCAAAGCTGTTGCAACAAGGAATTTCAGTTTTAATTGTAACCAGCTCTGGTTAGCAGTCTGGCCACATTTCCCCCATTTAATCAGGGGACTCTAAATAAATGTTCAGCTCCTAAAATCTGGCTTTGAATTCTTCTCTTTTTGTGGTGCTTAACCAGGGGTGCAACTGCATTTTTCTTTCAAGCTCTTCTTTAACTTCAGATATGTACAACATGATCCTCCACATTCTGGGAACAGGTTTAACATAACTAAATTTGGCCAAATGCTGATATCTGATTATTTTGTTTGGTTAATTTCTGGTAAGAACTTTCCAAAATCTGAACATTCCTTCATAAATTCAACCAAAAGTATTTGAGACTTAAAAATGTGAATGTGGGCAAAAGCAAAACAGATAGATTAACCCATTACTACTTATAGGAAACAGAATAGCTCACCATTTTCAAAGGCCACTTACTATTTTCAAACAGGTTATATTTTTCACAGCCAGGTGCTAATTTTTCTGTTTGTCTGCAACACTGATAGATTCCATCTGTCCAGAATTTAGGATGGTACTTTATCATAATGTTATTATTATTCTTTATTTCTTTGAAAAGAAAAACAGATTTCTATAAATTACTAGCATTTTAAAGTATTATGAACACTTTAATACAGTATTACAGTTTCTAAAATCAACAGAATATGGGAAATATAAAGCCTTTTTGTAAACAGAAGCTAGCCTATTAACAAAAGTAAAATCGTTAACACTAAATAAGGTTTACCAATATTATTGAAAGTTTTGGCCTTGGAATGTTATGTTTTTTTGTTTTGGCTCATATACTGAAACAGAGCAGGTAATTTCAATGGTGATGGCAATCATAGATTTAAAACTGTGGTCCTGCATCTATTAGAAATGTCTTCTGATTTTGTACCAATTGAATTAACATGGCTTCCCCCATAAATATTGAGAACTACTGTTTAGTAAGTCCCCGAGAGCTCTCCATTAGAATCTCGTCAGCCTTTGGCCTCAGAAGACCAGAATTCTCAGATTGGAGCTAATCAGAAGACATGAGTTCTGCGAATATTTGTAATTTTTTCTTCACACTTCACTCTCCTTAACATGTCCGACCTTTTAAAACCACAAACCAACATAACACTTGCAAGTTATAAATGTTTTTCTGATCTTTAATTAAATACAAAGTCTGATTAGCATGCACATCTGCAAAAGTTCTTATCCCTTTAGATGAGAGTTCCTTCACATGCTCTACTGAGATAAAAATGCAGTGAACGTTTGAAATTACCTTCTTTCAAATTCCTTACCCACTGGTCTCTGCTATGTGCAGTGGGAGCAAAAATATAAAGTGTGCTGTTATCATACACAACCTGAAAGGAAGGAGAAACAAGATAAAAACTATACAGACCTAAATAACTGTTTAATTTCAATTTTATTTTGTTTTTGTTTTTCAGTTGTGCACATGGAATGGTTTTCATTGATTTGGGGTCATGAGTGTATGTGAACTGCCTCAGAAATATTTGTTCAAGAGAGGAATGTATATCCCAAACCTAAAGAGATACAGTTTATAATGAAAAATGTTGCCTAGATTATAATAAAAACAAAGGCATTGGGGGGGAGTTTAATTTATGCTCTATATGTATGTGTTTTTTGGGTGTATTTTATTTTTTATTTTTTGAAGCTGCTCAGAGTAGTAGTTTGTCTACTAGATGGGTGGCGTATACTGTAAGTTTTAAAAAATTAAATTAAGTTAAAAATATTAAATGGCTACCATGATCTTTTAATGCTCGTCTTTTAATCCAATGCAGTTGTTAATAAACAAATTTGTCAATTCTCAACAAGGATTATCTTCAAGTCTATTCCACTTTGTATTATTCTATATTTGTTCTTAAACACTGCTATTTAAGTGCTTTTTTTAAACTCTCAGAAATTATTTTATAATCAAACATATCCTGAACACAGTTACCAGAAAGTTCCCCTATGGAATCTTACTGAGATTAAAGCTAAATATGGAAAAGATCCTCTCCGTCTTCTTCTCATAGTGTTTCTCCAAATGTATTCAACTTTCTGGAGCTACCAGTGTATAACTGGATATAGAGAGCATGTATGGAAGGACCCTCTGGAAGGGAAAAATCTACAAAGTTTCAATACATGCACAGAAACCTTTGTGTGAACATCTGAGAGACTAAAATCCTGTTGTGTAGCTTGAAGTTACACAAGTAATAAGGAAAATCAAGCTGAGGCAGAAGTAATATTCATCAAGGGCTTACACAGGCATGCTGCATAACAGTTGTGCCATGAATTATGCAACCAATTATGCAATCAAATTGCACAATGTGGACTACTTAGGCATAATGACTTGAACAGTTCTGTAGGCATAACTTCACATTATACCAGCTTCAATAGGATTTCAGCCTCTGTGCAGGTTTAATTAGTAATATATCAAGAAATTGTATGATGAAAACAAAATTTGCAAATAGAGTTGGAGGAAGTATAATAATGCAATCAACTTTGCCCACATGTCAGTACTATCACGTCTGGTAGACCAAACATTTAAATAAAACCATGTTTGTTGCATGGCAAAAGAAAATACATAAATCTGCTCATTTGAAAAAGGTGCACAAAATGAGTTACAGCAAAGAACTGCTCCTTGCCTAGAAGGTTTGCTGAAAATGTTAAACACGAAGAAGGACATATAGAAATGTGTTGAAATCTTGTGATTCAGACTGTATCGCTATGACTTGTTCCTAAACCAAAAAAGTTTACCTGAAATGGGTATTTATTCTGACAGGGAATAACACCATCGTTCTTTACAATTTCCACACACTTGATTTTTGAAAGGTCAACCGATCCTTTTCTGTATTTTTTCTGCAATACAGGAAAGAAGCATGTTTTAAGGATGCATTCTTAGAAGCACAGAATTTCACAACAAATGGTAGCGTTAAAGTTATGACAAATTTTAATCCAACATAAACTGTGCCAGAAGAGGGCATAATTGTTCAGTGAAAACATACAGAACCACAGAGCATTATTTCATATGCTTTTAATTGATCTACAGTGCAAGAGTATAAATGCACCCACATTACTGACAGCTGACAGCAACAGCAGATCTACTGCAAACAGTTATAGATCTGTATAGCCCAGCAAAAACAAAAGCTGGAGATGGGGGTGGACATGGGGGAGGGATGCTAAAAATGTTTCTCTATACCAAGGGTCTCCAAACTTTTCACCATGATGGCCACGTAATATATTTTCCAAATTTTTAGGCCTAAAGGAACGTGTGCACCCTCACTCCTGCCCGCCCGCTTGCATGCATGAACTGGATAAAAACGGACCGGATGAGGCCCAGGGGCCGTACTTTGGAGACCCCTGCTCTATACCGATGACCAATTTACAATGAGCCACATACAGTAATTTTTCTGTGCTACCACTTTACTTCATACAGTGATTTGCCAAAGTCCAAGTCAGAAAGGCAAAGATAGTCTTAAGAAAAGAACATTTGCAGAGCTACTCCTTAGTACAGAACCAATCTGATGAGGCAGCAGAAACAGGACAATAACATGTGTTAGTGGCCTGATGCCCTTTTAAACATCCATCTCACGCAGACCAACAAAGAACAGGAAGCTACATAAGGTTTTTCTGCACATTCTTCATGCAACCATATGTGCATGTTTAACACTCACTGTACAGTGGTGCCTCGTTTAACAAGCACCCCATTTAACGATGAATCCGCATAGTGATTGAGTTTTTGCGATTGCAAAAGCGATTGCATTGCGATGTTTTAAATGGGGGGAAATCGCTTTGCGATGATCGTGGGGAAGCGCTTCCCCACGATCATCCCAAAGCCCCCCCCCGAAAGAGAGCTTTGGACCTGCAAGGTGAGAGAGAGAGAGAGAGAGAGAGAGCGGAGTTTGTGAAGCTGGCTTCCCCGTGATCTTTGCAAACACCCGCCCATCAGCTGTGCTTCGGGAGGGTGTTTGCAAAGATCGCGAGGAAGCCAGCTTCGCAAACCCCCGCCGACTTCAGCACGTGCACTCTCTCTCTCCCCCCCCCTCACAACTCCAGCCTGGGCAGGGAGACTCAGTCACCCTGGTTGTGGTGGCACGGTGCCTCAGTCTCCTTGCCCAGGCTGGACCTGCAAGGGTAGAGAGAGAGAGCGAGCGCGGGGTTTGCGAAGCTGGCTCTCTCTCTCTCTCTCTCACCCCTCGCAACTCCAGCCTGGGCAGGGAGACTCACAGCTGATCGGCGGTTCCAAAATGGCCGCCCGCTGTGTTACCTCGCTTTAGAGGCACCGAAAATGGCGGCGGGTTGGAGGATTTTCACTTAAAGGTGAGTTTTTCCCCCATAGGAACACATTAAACGTGTTTTAATGCGTTCCTATGGGGTTTTTTGCCCCGCATAGCAACGAATCCGTATAGCGACAATTTTTTCGGAACAGATTATCGTCGCTATGCGGGGCACCACTGTATATATCTCATGCCTTTCCTCAAATCAACACTTCTGTTGTACATGAACATTCAAAGCATAATATTTTAGACATCAGTCATCCATGGATCATTTTATGAAATTTCAGTTACCCTTTTTAATCCTTTGGGGGCTGTGTGTTTACCCATCAACAAATTTTTGGGTAGATAAGGACAGTTTTAAAAACTACCCTGTTTCCCTGAAAATAAGACCTAACCTGAAAATAAGCCCTAGTATGATTTTTCAGGATGCTCGTAATATAAGCTCTACCCCGAAAATAAGCCCTAGTTAAGTGAAACCCTGCCCTCCACCATTGTGCACCAACCAGAAGAAGAGGACATGGCTGTATTTGAATAACTGTAGATTGTTGTACATGAAAAAAAAAAAACATCCCCTGAAAATAAGCCCTAATGCATTTTTGGAGCAAAAATTAATATAAGGCCCTGTTTTATTTTCGGGGAAACAGGTTAGGAAAAAAGCTGCAGAGCTATCCATCTCTAGCAAGGCCCCCCTTTTAAACAATCTCTTTAACTTGTGCTATCATAACATACTCTCTTCCACAACTCTTGTGTGAAAAATGCACGCACATCTATTTAAAAAAAATTATGGCACAACTACCACTCTGCACAAAGGTTGCTCTCCTCTTCCATTTGATATATGCAAAAGGTAAACTGCAACAGTCAATTAAAAAATCACCTGTGAGAATATTGCACATGATTTAGAAAACCCTTCTAATCAAACATTTTGCTCCATCCAGCAAAAATAATACATATCACTTCAGGACATCTATAAGCAGGACTTGAATGCCATTGCACCCTCTCACTCATTTTCTGCAGCAATTGGTAGACTGAGGCACATCGTATCTGGTACTAAAGACAATATATGGCCATCATGATCCAACCACTGATTTGATTTATCTTCCATGAATATTTCCAACCATGGTTTTAAAGAAGTTCAAATCGGTGGCCATCATTACACAATGAAATGTAAACAAAGTGAAGAAATAATTCCTTTTCTCTGTCTTTAATCTCCACCATTCAGTTTCACTAGATGACAACAGCTCTGTTTACTACAGGATGGGATGGAGGTAACTTCCTCCCTTTTCACTTTCTCCATATTATTCAGAATTTTATATACATAGGTCATGTCCATCTAATCACAATTTTTCTAATATAAAAAATACTCATATGGAGTATAACCTGTCTTCGTAGGGGAGTGAAGCTCTTTAAACATTTTATTTGTCCCTTTCTGCAACCAGGTGTGCAATATCGTTTCCAGGTCTGCCATCTCCTTTTTCTGAGGAGCAGTGGACTGTATACACCATTCCAAATACATCACACCACATATTATGGTGTCAGCCATTTTATTTCACTTTATTTTCCTAATGATTCCCATCTTCAGTTTCTCTTTTTTACAGCAGCTGCACACTAACTAGTTCAAAGCTTATTCGAGCTGTTCTAAACCACAAGATCACTTTCCTGGTTAGTAACTCAAATCATCTGTATATATACAGTATGGGGCAAAAATACACAGTTAGGAATTTTTGCCCCAATATACATGACTTTAAATTTGCTTAGAGTGAACTGGAATTTCCATCTTAATGCCTGATTACCAAGTTTGGAGAGACTGATTTGAATCTGTTCACAACTTCTTTTTGTTTTTATCTTCCTAAATTAATTAGGGTAATCGGAACTTTTAACCACCTTCATTGCTCACTTATCTCTAGGAATTTTCAAATAAACAGCATGTTTGTCTGTTTCAGCATATGCGACCCCCATTCCAAAGTATTCTGGTATTCTGACCAATTTATTTTTGTAAATGAGCTTCATTCATCACAATCTACTACCACTCTCTTCAGATCATTTATGAGTGAGTTAAAAAGTACTTCTCTCAATATTTATCTAAGAAAACCTAACTGTTTACACACTTCCATTAAAAATGGACTAGTTCTATTCTTGTTTCCTAATTTTTAAGTAGTTACTGATTTATAATAGGATGTGAAATGATCCAAAGACCTGTCTAGACAATCCTCATGGGAGAAAAAAAGTCAATCAGTGTAAAATGAAGGATTGCTCAGATAAAATAGATCACACTGAAGATAAGAACCTTTTCAGCAAACCACACCACTCCGACTACCCCCATTAGGACATGTGCCTAGTCTCAAGTAAATGCATAACAGACAAGCATGGATTGCAATTACTTTGCACTGGTAAGAGAGATACAAGTCTTCCAGTTCATTTTCCCTGAATACATTATCCCACCCCAGGAGGTAATTTTCTATGAGAACAACGGTTAGAGCAAAGGCTTACACATTCCCTATGGGAGGTCTTGATCTGGATTCCATTCCCTGTGTGATCCTTGGCAAGAGAAGAGAACCAGCTGCACCATCTATACTATTTATTTAATGTAGCATGTAGCTTGGTCCCTAGAAGCAAACAGAGTATACTGCGTGTTCATCCTTCATTGCCCAAAGTCAGGAACAATGTCAGGATGTAGAAATCTAGATAAAGCTATAAATATGCACCGAAAAGTATCTACAATTCTTAACGTTAATAGATACCAGAACCACACTGCATTTGAGCATTATTTTACACAGTGACGTTTGATAGCTAGCAGGTGTCTAGTCTATTTCATTTCTATTTTGTATATTCTTGTTTTTCAAAAGACTATAATGGCATCTATTTGGCAATGAGCTCATTCTTTTATACCCACACAAACACTGACACAAGTAGTAAGAAGAAAGCTCCCTTAAAAGGGAAAGACAGTTTATGCTAACATGAGTATGCCTCAAACCACATTTGGCTAATTAGCTTGCCTTTGTTTCATAACTGGTAAATCTGGCCATAGCAGACATAATATCCAAAGTGAGGGGAATATGCATTTGCTTTAAGGTGTGCTTGTATTCTTGGAATGCCACTAATATTTCACGTTTCTCATCCTTAGCCAGACTCTTCTGTGTTGACGTATCTGTTGAAGAACCTCTACATACTGCCAGGGATATGAGGTGTGTTGTGCTGGACATTCAGCATTCCAGTGGGCACTAACTTGGTTTCCTGAAACTGAAATTTTGCTGTTGCCCAAGCTGAGCCACAAATGCATCCAGAAAACACCCAATAAATACCCAGAGGATGTACTGGGTGCTTTCTGAAGCACTCTAAGTGGTGGCACACCAGTTACCTTTTAAGAGACAGTTGATCTCTCCAGAGTCAGCCTAGATTAACTCCAAAGAAGCCCTCATGTGTTTTGTGGGGAAAAAAAACAGAATGCATACATGTCTGTTGCTCATGTCATGCCACCCATAATGTTCCCATAGACAAGTTGATTTAATGAATTAGTTGCACTATAGCAAGGTCACAAGAAAAGGTCGCAATGAATTGGAATTTGGTGGCATATAATTAATTATT